ATCGCGGCAGATCCAAATTAGACCTCGCCATTCCTGGGGGGCTGCGATCTGTGAAACTGTCGCCACTTTCGAGGCCTGCTGGGGGGCTCAGCATAGAGGGTAATCGCGGCAGATTCAAATTAGACCTCGCCATCCCTGGGGGGGGGGGCTGCGATCTGTGAAACTGTCGCCACTTTCGAGGCCTGCTGGGGGGTCCAGCATAGAGGGTAATCGCGGCAGATCCAAATTAGACCTCGCCCTCCCTGGGGGGCTGCGATCTGTGAAACTGTCGCCACTTTCGAGGCCTGCTGGGGGGCCCAGCACAGTGAGGGCCACGCGCGGATTCAAATTAGACCTCGCCATCCCTGGGGGGCTGCGATCTGCGAAACTGCCGCCATTTTCGAGGCCTGCTGGGGGGCCCAGCACAGTGAGGGCCACGGGCAGATTCAAATGAGACCTCGCCGTCCCTGCGGGGCTGCGATCTGTGAACCTGTCGCCACTTTCGAGGCCTGCTGTGATCCCCGTTTTCGAAGTGGCTAGGAGTGCTCAGGAATTGTAAATCATCAGCTTTATCAAGCCCTTTTCCTGTAGCCAGTGTCCTGCGAGTCTCCCGAATTCCGTCTGCAGACATATGTAACCCTCGCTCCGTCATCGCCCCCTTATAAAGTATCCTAAACTATTTGCGCCCCGCTTTTGCGCAGGGGTTGGGTACGTCGCCAGGGTAAGTTTCCCCAAACTTTCCCCTGTTTTTCTTTGCTTTCCTCTGTTCCTCTCTGTTTCCCTCTGTTTGGGGAGGTTCCGAAATAGGAAACCCTAACCTTTGGAAGTTATGATTCCCTCTCTTTTTCCTCTGTTTCCCCAAGATTGTCCCTCTGTTTTCCATTGTTTTCCATGCTTTCCTCTGTTCCCCTCTGTTTCCCTCTGTTTGGGGAGGTTCCGACAGAAAAAATCCGTAACCTCCGGAGGTTCGGGTTCCTACTGTTTTCCTCTGTTTTCCCTTTGTTGTCCCTCTACTCCCCTTATGTTTCCCTTATGTTTCCCTTGTTTCCGTCCGGTTCCCAAGTAGGAAACCCCAACCTTCAGAGGTTAGGGTTCCTTCTATTTTCCCTCTGTTGCCCTCTGTTCTCTTATGTGTTCTTTATGTTTCCCTTATGTTTCCCTTCTGGTTCCCCCTGTTTCCCTCTGTTTTGGGTGGTTTCGAAGACACTACGAAACTCTAACCTCTGGAGGTCAGGGTTCCCTCTGTGCTCCTATGTCTTCCTTGTGTTTCCCTGTGCTTCCTTATGCTTCCCTTTTGTTTCCCTCCTGTTCCCCTTCTGTTTCCCTTCTGGTTCCCGCTGTTTCCCTGCTCTCTGGGAGGTTCCAAAGTAAGAAACCCCAACCTCCGGAGGTCAGGGTTCCCTTTGTGTTCCTCCGTTTCCCTTTGTGTCCCTCTGTTTTCTGTGGTGTCCCTCTTTTACTTTATGTGTCCTTCTGTTTCCCTATGTTTCCCTTCTGTATCCCTTCCGCTTCCCTTCTGTTTCCTCTCTGCTTCCCTTCTGTTTCCCGCTGTTTCCCTCTGTTTCGGGAGGTTCCGAAGTAAGAAACCGTAATCTCTAGAGGTTTGGGCTCCAAACCTCCCGATTCCAGTGCATTTCCATTTAGCAGCCTTCGATCCTGTCGCGCTTGGCCTTCCGGCGGAGGCTGGTTGTTGGCTGGCGGGGGGTCGGCGGCGAGCGAGGGGAGGAAGTGAGAAGGAGGAGGCTTTTGCAGAAGGCCGCGGGGCTTTTCAGAAGCCCTCCGGCCTCCCGACAGGTCTTTCGCGTCTGCGGAGAAGACTTACAGAAAAGTGCCAGAAGGCCAGCGGACTTCCGAGCCTCGTGAGGAGGCCCACCCCCTCTCCTTTCCCCCCCGGGCTGGCCGCCGAGGGGGTTGGCGGAGGCACTAAGCGGGGGCAGATCTGCCGGCGGAGGCTCGGCGGAGCGGAGGGCACCAGGCCTTCACCGTCCTCCTCGTCTCCAGCCGGCTGCGCGTGACAGTTTCGCTGGAGCGACCCTTGGTCATGTCAGCGTCGTTTAGCCGACCCCTGTCCTCATCCCCATCCCTGTCCATCGGAGGACGACAAGGTACCCATACCGCTGCCCTTCGCCCGTGTTCCCTTTTTGGGATCCCCTGGGAGGCCATCGACGCCACCGCTGGATTCGCCTCAAAATCTTGGTCAGAACGCCCCGAGGAGAGGCACTGGGAGTAGCAGTGTCGATACTTTTCGGTTTCCCCACATCCAGGCCCCCACCATATCAGCACCCCAGTTGAGGGTCTACATGTAACTATATATATATATATATATATATATATAGTTATAGTTATATACAGTTATATATATATATACACCTTTATCCTATAAAATTACATTGGGAAACCCCCATGAGATCCGGGGGGGGGCACCACGCCGACACCCCCCCTCCAGAGCCCCCATGACGGCTCAACAGACGGCCCAAGACGGCCCAACAAACGGCCCATACCCCTCCAGGACAGCCACGATGGTCCCAACAAAGCCCAATATGACCCCAAGGCGTCTCCAAGACGGCCCAAGACGACCGACGACGGCCAAGGATGGCCCCCAAAACACTCCAAGAGGCTTCCATGAGGCTTCCACAACGGCCCCGGAGGCCTCCAAGAGGTTCTCCAGGAAGGCCCGAAGAGGCCAAAAACATAGATTTCCTTTTGGTTTTTGCAAAATTTCGGCGTTTGCTTATTTTCGGCTTTCGGCCGATCCAAGGCGCCCCAAGAGGCCCCCTGGCTATCGCCCACGAGGCCCTCCAGACGGCCCCAAGAGGGCCCCAAGATGGCCCCAGAGGCTTCCAAGACGCCCAAGATGGTCTCTATGACTGGCCCTCAGGCACCCCAAGAGGACCCAAGTCGGTTCAGAGAGGCCCCCAGGACGAATTCCGACGGCGTCGGACGGGAGAAGAACGCCCTAGGACGGCCAAACAAGGCTCCCAAGAGGCCCCCAAAGGCCTTCAAGAGGCTCTGGGAGGCCCCCCAAGAGGCCTCCAAGAGGCCCCCAGGAAGCTCCCAGGAGGCCCCCATAGTGCCCCAAGCGGCTCCCGACGGGCCTCCTCCTGCACCTCCTCCTCCTCCTCTTCCTCCTCCTGCTCCTGCTCCTTTGTGGCTGCATCCTTCAAGCAAAACCCATTCGACGAGCCTCATCCTCATCCTCCATCTCCTCCTCCTCCTCCTCCTCCTCCTCCTCCTCCTCCTCCTCCTCCTCCTCCCGTTTTAAAGAGCAGGGCATAGAATCCGGAAGTTTTTCCCAGCCTCCCCACAGATTTGTTCGAAAAACCCAGGGGCCAAGATTTAAGGCGAAGCGGCAGCGAGCCTTCAAAATCTTGTGTATATATATATATATATATATATATATATATATGAAAATATAGCACCCCGCAATTTCGGACAAGAGTGAGGGGGCGGGCGACGGATGGGTCGCGGGCGGGTCGCGGGCAGGTCGCAGGTGGGTCGCGGGATTGGTCGCAGGTGGGTCGCGGGTGGGTCGCGGGTGGGTCGCCGGTGGGTCGCGGGCGGGTCGCGGGCGGGTCGCTGGCGGGTCGCGGGTGGGTGGCGGGTGGGTGGCGGGTGAGTCGCGGGTGGATCGTGGGTGGGTCGCGGGTGGGTCTAGGGCCGGGTCGCGGGTGGGACGGCGACGACGACGACGATGACGACGACGGCAACAACAACAATTTTAAGATTGATCGCTGTTATCTCCTCGCGTGCCATTCATCACGTATTTCCCAAACCCTCGATAACAGCCCTCTTCGTCTTCGATCTTACCCACTTGATCTCTCTGACCTGCAACGTGTATTTCGTGCAGCCCCTAAGGCAGGGGAAGAGAGGACGGATGGAAGGAATGGACAATGGGGGAGGGAGGGGGGCTAGGAGCAGAAAACACGTGGCAGACGCAGACCGGCAGATCGGGCGGGTAGACCCTGACAGGCGGGTCGGGAAGGCGGGCCCAGGCGGCAACGTCGAGCAGGCGGGTTGTTGAAGCATGCGTCCTGCATGAATCGCGAGGGAGATTCCAGCGACAGCGCGATTCTAGAATCGTGGGTAAATCCACAGCGAAAGCGTGATTCCTGAGTGTTGAGGGCGCGGCGCCCACATAAAGTGCGAGGAAGTCCCACGCGAGAGCGCGATGTTTGCATACATTCTGCGGAAGTCCCGCGCGAGAGCGCGATTTGGGAACAACATGTGAGGATTATCAGGCGGGGGCCGCTGTTGTTGTAAACCAGGGGCCGAGAACATAATTTTGAGACCCAAGAATTGATTCAAACAAAAATCATGGTGCGAGCCCTGGGAAGGGCACTTCAATTGGAAAACACAGTGTGCCCTGGAGAGGGGATCAACCATACATATTTTTCTGTAGCGAGAGTTCGGCAACAAGAACAGCAACACCAACAATAGCAACAGCAGCAACAATAACAACAGCAATAAGTTTAAGACTGCTCGCTCTTATCTGCTCGCATGCTGTTCATCACGTGTATATATATATATATATATATCATACCTTGGATACCTGCCCTCTTCGATGTCGATTGGACCCCCTTCGGGGCATATTATTTTTGACTTGCAACGTGTATTTCGTGCAGCCCCTGAGGCAGGGGAAAAGAGAACGGAGGGAAAGAAGGGACAAGGGGCAGGCGGGTTGCTGGAGCGTGCGTTCTGCATGAATCGCGAGGAAGTCTCGAGCGACAGCGCGATTGCCGAATGAATCTTGAGGAAATCCATAGTGAGAGCATGATTCCTGAGTGTTGAGGGCGCGGCGTTTGAATACATTGCGAGAAAGTCCTACGCGAGAGCGCGATTCCTCTATACATTATTATTCAGTCCCTCGCGAGAGCGCGACATGAGAATCAGTTGTAAAGAAATATCAGATGGGAACCGCTGTTGTTGTAAACTGGTGGACAGGGTTCAGTTTGGTAACGCTTCAAGGTATATTATAAGTATCTTGTGACGTACCCAGCCCACCTGCATCAAGTGACAAGAGGATTTGGCTCAAACTTGCAAGGACAATGACACTGTAGGCGCCGTTATACGTTGTACAAACAACATGTGATGTGTTCACGTGGCACGATTCACAGGACAACGGGAGAAGGACGAGGAAAGAGGGCCCAGGCTTGAGGAGGACATGGGGGCGGGAACGAAGGACAGGAGAAGGACGCGCGAGAGGCCGAACCGTCATCGCTGCAGCAGCAAAGGGAAGGTGGCAGAGGGCAGAGGACGATGACGAAAGTGGCGGGAGGAAACCGAAGAGTGTTGTTTTTGTCGGGAGTACGCTAAAGATGCAGCGCTGGATGCGCTATGTCGCCGCGGCGCTCGAAACAATGGTGGTTACACGTGCTTATAGTTAGTGCAAGAAGCGAGCGAGGACTGGCTCGCCCGCCAGCTTCTCTGTTTCTTTCGTGACGGCCCCGGAATTCGAAACAACCCCCAGGTAACAGAAAATGGCGTCAGTCCGCTGGGCCCCAGGGGTGGCGAGATATCCTGGTGGTCCGCGTGGGACGTCACGCAGCTGCACCCCCCAGCAGCCCAAGAAAATTGCGACAGTTCCGCAGATCGCACCCCCCCCCCCCAGGGATGGCGAGGTCTCCTGGTGGTCCGCGTCAGAGGTCATTCCGCTGGACACCCCAGCAGCCTTCGAAAGTGGCGACACCTCCGCAGATCGCAGCCCCCCAGGGATGGCGATGTCTCTCGGTGGTCCGCGTAAAACGCCACTCCGCTTCACCCCCCAGCAGCCCTCGAAAGCGGCGACAGCTTCGCACATCAGCGATGGCGAAGTCTCCAGGATGAAAGTGGCGAGAGCTTCGCAGATCGCAGCCCCGTAGGGATGGCGAGGTCGAGTCTGAATCTGCGTACCAAGTTACTCGGCTGGACACCCCCCAGCAGGCCTCGAAAGTGGCGACAGTTTCGCAGATTGCAGCCCCACACGAATGGCGAGGTCGAAGATGAATTCGCGTAGCACGCCTTTCCGCTAGACCCCCCACGTAGGGATGGCGAGGTCGAATTTGAATCTGCGTAACACGTCACACCGCTGGACCCCCAGCTGCCTTCGAGAGTGGCGACAGGTTCGCATATCTCAGCCCCGCAGGGATGGCGAGGTCGAGTCTTAGCCTGCGGAGCACGTCACTCCGCTGGACCCACCAGCAGCCCAAGAAAATGGCGACAGTTTCGCAGATCGCAGCCCCACAGGAGTGGCGAGAGCACGTCACCCCGCTGGACCCCCCAGCAGCCCTCGAACGTGGCGACCGTTTCGCACATCGCGGCCCCACAGGGATGGCGAGGTCTAATTTGAATCTGCGTAGCACGTCACTCCGCTGGAACCCCAACCGCCTTCAAAAGCGACGACATGATCACAAATCCCATCCCCGCAAGTATGGCGAGGGCGAGTCTGAATCTGCGTGGCACGTCACTCCCCTGGATCCCCCCGCAGCCCAAGAAAGTGGCGTCAGTTTCGCAGATCGCAGCCAGGAGCCAACAACACAGTTTGGTGACCCCCGATTTTCGTTGTAGAGAACCGGGTGCGTTCCGTCGGAGGAGCGTTTTAATTGAAAAGTACAGTGGTCACCGACGGGGGGGATCAACAAGAATTGATCTTTCACAGTGACAATTCAACGCAACAGCAGTCCGCACCACGGAACCCCGCTTCAGCCACGCACCTACGGATAGTGAATGATTGTTCGGCCCCTCCATCTGACCCCTCGAAGCCCGAAGGGAACGGCCTATATATCCATCTTCTGGGGGGGGAATCGACCAGTGGGGTCCAGGTCACGCCCATCGGGTTAGGGGTCGGTCAAAGGATGCTCAGTAACCTGTGGTGCGGGCCCGCACATGGACATTATATTCGAGCACTGTAGCCCAAGATGCCCCCCTGACCCCCCGAAATAAATATTGATGACGTGACTTCGAACCCCAAAGCGCCTCCTTTACTGAGATCAACATTGATGTCGGGGGCGTGGGGGTGATTTAGAACCTCCTTCGAATGTGTGAGGGATCGAATATACTGTCCATCTCCTGGCACACCGGGTCCCCCGATGGCTGAACACGATGCGACAGCAGCGGCTTGCGCGCCCAGGTTTGCCCTCCTCGCGGCACCCGAAGGCCGCGCACCCAGGGGTCACTCCCGCCTCGGGTCATTCGTTGCGTGTACCCGGGCGATCTGGGCCTCCCAGATTGGGTCCGAGCAGATGCGGTCGGAGGGTCGCGCCGCGTCGCCGAGGCGTCGGCGGTGCGGCTCGAGGTGGGGCCCGATCTTCTCCACGCCGACATCGCCCACGCGTCGCCGCTGTTGCCGGCGCATCAGCGCAGTGTTGGCGATGCGGCGCGGTCCTCCGACCCCATGTACTCGGACCCCATCTGGGAGGCCTCCGGAGGTGGCGCCGGCCAGCCCGGAGGGCCGGGCTTTCACCGTCCTCCTCATACCGAAGGAGGGAGCTTGGCATCCTCCTCCTCCTCCTCCTCCTCCTCCTCCTCCTCCTCCTCCTCCTCCTCCTCGTGCCACCAAAAAACGAGCGCCGCACAAGGAGTGAGGGGGCTCCTTGCCACGGCAGGCCTCGGCCACGAGCAGGCGCCCCCCGACCGGCAACCCTCCGCGAGGTCAAGCGCAAGTTTCTCCCGCGACGTGGTGCCCCCCACCCCCCCAGGCTCGGGCTGGGCGAAAGGGGGGGATTGGGAAAGGGGGGGTTACGGAATTTGCTGCATGCGGCTGGTTTCGGCTCCGCCGCCGGGCCCATTCCTCGATACATGGGCGCCTCCCGGCGCCGGGAGGCGCCGGGAAAATCAGCTACGTGAGCTGATTCTCTACCCTGCCCTTTGCTATCCCCCCCTTTCGCCCGACCCGACAGGCCCCAAATGTCAGCGTTCGCGCGGCAGTTGGCGACTTCGATGCTTCTTCGGACCCCGCGGGCCGCGTCGCGCGCGTCGTTGAGCACTGAAATCGGTGGGGGGGGCGAAGGGGGGGGACTCGCGTCCGATTTCGCGGAGCGTCGTAGACCTGAGGGAGGGCACGCAGACCAGGGCCCCTCCTGACCGTCCTTATTTCAGCGCGTGGGCAGTCCTTGTTCGGAGCTCCGCGCAGGTCCCCTGGATCGGCGCTGGGCCCCCCTCCTTGGCGCGCTCGGCGGCCCCAGGGAGGGGCGGAGGGCCAGCGCCGATCCGAGGACTTCTCCTCCCTCTCTCTCTCTCTTTCTCTCCTCCTCCTCCTCCTCCTCCTCCTCCTCCTCCTCCTCCTCCTCCTCCTCCTCCTCCTCCTCCTCCTCCTCCTCCTCCAGTCCTCGCGGGCCTCCGAGAGCTTGTGTATGTGCCGATGCCCCTTGTTCGGCCATCTGGAGCAACATGCTGGTGGCCAGCCTCACCTCAGCGGACGAAGCACGGTATGCCATGCACTGTTTTGCCCGCCGGGCCCCAACGGTGACACGTCGAGGTCTACAGCCTTCTAGCCGCGTCGTTGCCCCCGCGGCCCAGCGTGTTGGCCGCCTCGCGCGCCTGCCTGAGGGCTCCCCCCCATCTCGCCTCTGCCCCCCCCGCGGAGCGCGCGAGAGCAAAAAAGGCGGCGAACAGGAGAGCGTTTTATTCTCTCGGCCCCGGCAAGTTGCCAGCGGGGCCGCCCCCGACGGCCGAAAAGTTGATGTCTTACGGTTCTTCGTCCGCTGGTCATCCTGGGCGTCGTGGGGAGCCGCGTGGGCGAGCAGGTCGCGCGCCGCGGGCGCGCCCTCCTGGGGTGGGTGTGGGACGCCCCCGTGGTCGCGCCCGCGGCGGCCCTGCTCGCGGGGACGCTGCTGCTCGCGTGGGTCTTCGTATCGCTGGAGCAGCGCTCCTGGGTGGAGGGCCTCTACCTGAGCTCGGCTGGCAAGAGTCGGCATGCGCATGAACCTTCGGAGGTCCTCGAAGGGGCTCGACGTTTGCACCACGTCGCTTGGTCGGCCAGGAAGTCAAGGAGATCGGCGAACAAAAATCAGCGTATAGATGCTCCAGCGTAACCCAGGTTGGGAAGGGGCGCCTATACACCGAGCTCATTGGCCGACGTGGTGTATGCATCGAACCCCCCCAGGTCCGTACGGATTCCTTCCTTCGACCTGCGTTGGACCCCCCCTGGCGGCGCCTCCGGCGCCGCCCCTGGCGCGCCCCACGCGCCAGGCAGGGTGACCCAGCGCCGATCTGGGAGGTCCGCGCGGCCCCTCGAACGTACATGTCCGTGCGCTCTTCTTGCCCTCCCGTGAGCACCATGACGCTAACCACGGTGGGGTACGGCCAGCTGGGGCCGCTCTCCCCCGGGACGCGCTGGATCCTGTGCCTCGCGCTCCCCGTCGCCGTCACCGCAGCGGGCCTGCTCGCGGGGCAGCTCGCAGAGCGCCTGCGGGAGCCCTGGGAGCGGCTGGCGCCGTCCCGCAGCAGGCGCGCCCGGCTGCTCCTCCCGAGGAGCAGAGCACGGCCCAAACATGATTTCTCCGAGGTCCGCGCGGATTCCTGGGGACGCATTTCAGCAACATGCCATGAACGGCTACGGAAGCTGGAAATGTGTGTTTTGTCTTGGGAGGGCGCGTGCAACCTATGGCGCAGCTACTTGTGGCGCCTCCAATGGCAGAATCTACACAACATATATTGCACCACGGTCGTGTAGATTGATTGTTCCACACAGGTTGCACCACTTGAATTGCGCTGCGCTTGGTCACTGGTCGCGGATCGGCGTTGGGCCTTCCTGGGGACGCCTCCGGCGCCGCCCTTGGCGCGCAGAGAGCGCCAGGGAGGGGGGGCCCAGCGCCGAGCCAAGAAGTCCGGGAGGGCCTCGGAGAAATCATGTCGAGGCCGTTGTCGCTCCTCTGTCCTCAGCTCATCTGTGGTCCTGGCCGTGTCCCTCGCGTCTGGTGCGGCCTTCTCCTGCTGGGGCAGCCAGGGCTGGACATTCCTCGACGGCTTCTACTTCGGGGCCGTCACGGTCACCACTGTCGGCTATGGGGACCTGTCACCTTCCGAGACCGAGGTGGAGATGTGGCTCGCCGCGGCGCTGATGTGGACGGGCGTCGTGCTCGTGTCCGCGTGGCTGCAGCGCATCGGCTTGGAGGCGTCGGGCCTCGGTAGCCTCTTGTCGAGGCAGCTGCCCAGGGCCTCTGGCAACGCGCTGCCGCTGGCCGCCGGGGGCCGCGGGCGCGGCCGCTGCGGGCGCCGGTGCCGTCGGCTGCTGGCGGAGCGGTGCGCCGAGCTGGCGCCCGAGAGCGACGCGGGGCGCGAGGCGCTGGCTGGGCTCGTCTTCCTGGCGGCGCTGCACGCCGGCGGCGCGGTGCTCTTCAGCTGGCTCGAGGCGTGGAGCCTCGCCGACGGCGCGTACTTCACCGCGGTGACCCTGTCCACTGTGGGGTACGGCGACCTGTGCCCCTCGCACGCGGGGTCCCGCGCGGCCACCGCGGCCTTTGTGCTCGTGGGCGTGCCCGCGTGCGCGGAGCTCGTGGGGTCGCTCTCGTGCTTCTGGGCCGGGGCGCTCGCGGAGGCGCTCGAGGGCGCGCCGGCGGGCAGCAGCCCCGAGAGGCATGCTTGCCTCAGCGGTGGCACGCCAGAGATCCGTAGTGCTCTCCAGGGAGCGACAGAGAGCATCAGCGTTAGGGACGACGACACCGCTGCGCTGCGCAAGCCGGACGGTTTCACCAAACTGAGCTGCTCGGCAGCGCGGGTGCCGCAGCCTGGGGTGACCAGCTTGCGGTCGAGTGGCGCAGGGTCCCCTCCCTTGCGGTCGCGCCAGGTGACCGCGGCATGATTTCCGGCTGGACCTGTCGTGGCCTTCCCGCTCTCGAGGTGCGACCTTTGCAGACGCATTCCGCGCGGCTCACTGTGGCGCCTGGCAGCGGCGCTGGCCACCTCCTATTCTTTTTTGTGCCTCTAGCGGCGACCTGCTGCGAGTAGGTCGGATGGCCGCAGCGTTCGGTTCAGGTGAGCGAGCACGCGGAATGCAGCTGCTATCTGCTAGATGCCTTCAGTGCCTTAGTGGACGTCTTCTTGTAATGGCCCTCATGGACCATCTATGCGGCCTGGAGGTTTAGTTATTCAACCCAGGGTCGGAAAGATTTTAGTTCGCGAGTGCTATTTGATGTGTTTCACAGCCTCTGATGTTCTCATACATTCGTTCTCACACCTTCGGCGATTATCCATATTGGGAAGGCCTTACGGCCGGTGCCGCCGACCTTGAAGGGGGACGGCGACCACGACGGCGGCGTCGGCGGCGACGACCACGCTGACGTGGGGCAGAATCCTCGCGATGATTCGTGGGACCTCTTCGGAGCGCGCTCGTAGGCCTCTGGGGGGCAGTTTTGGGGCCTCTTGGGAGCACCTTGGCGGCCTCTTGGAGCCTCTTGGGGGTCCCTCCGGGCTTCCTGGGGGCCTCTTGGGGGCCTCTTGGGACCTCGTGGGAGCCTCTTGGGAGCATCTTGGGGCCTCCTGGGAGCTTCTAGGGGCCGAGGGCTCGAAATCAGAGAGAGGGTGCCCGAGCGGTCTTACTCTGTCCCTGCTCGTGGTCGTCCGTCTTGGGGTCGTCTCTCAGGCGGCCGCGCTAGGAGGCCACGCTGGGAGGCCACGCTGGTAGGCCACGCTGGGAGGCCACGCTGGAAGGCCGCGCTGGGAGGCCACGCTGGGAGGCAGCGCATGGAGGCCACGCTGGGAGGCACGCTGGGAGGCCACGCTGGGGGGGGGGGGGGGGGCCACGCTGGCACGCTTGGAGGGCCCACCGAAGAGGGGTGGTGTGTCCGCAGCGGTTTCGGTTCAAATCCCGCTGGCAGCGAGCGCGTCGTGGCTTCTGAGAGCGCAGCCAAGCACCCTCTCTCTTATCCGCAGCTGCAGGTGATTTGTATTCGTTCGGGTTCCCGTGTGGGCACCCTCTTGGAGCCCTTTTGGTGTCCTCTTGGGCCGTCTGGGAGGCCTCTAGGGCCGTCTTGGGGGCCTCTTGGGTCGTTTTGTGGCCGTCTTGGAGACCTCTTGGGGGCCTCTTGTGCCGATCATGGTGGCTTCTTGGGCCGTCTTGGGGCGCCGGAAAGCCGAAAAGGCGAGAACGCCAGAATCTTTCAAAATCCCCCTAAAAAGTCATTTGATTTTGCCTGTTGGGACCCTCTTGATGTGCTCTGGGAGGCCACTTCGAGCATCTTGGAAGCCGCTTGGGCTGTCAGGAGGCCATCGTTGGCGTCTTGGGCCGATGATTCGGCGATTCGGGGCCCTCTTGGGCTGGCATGAGGCTTTTTGGGCCCCCCGGCCCTCCGCGGGGGGATGGCACTCTGACCCGGGACCTCCCCCCAGAACCCCCTTCCCCGGAGCCCCCCACCCCGGAGCCCTCCCCCCATGCCTCCCCCCAGGCGGGGGAAGGGATCAAAGGGAAGGGGCTTCCCCTCGACTCCACTGCGACATTCCCTAATCTGTCGGTTCGGTTTCGCGCTGGCCGGCTCGCTGGAGGAGGGAGGCCCAGTGAATGGAAGGGGAGCGGCGGCGAGGAAGGCCCAGTGAAAGGAAGGAGAGCGACGACGGGCCCAGTGAAAGGGGGGTCAGACGTGGGCAAACGCGACGACGACGACAACCACGACGACGACGACCACGACGACGACGACCACGACGACGACGACGACGACGACGACGACGACGACGACGACGACGACGACGACGACCACGACCACGACGACGACCACGACCACGACCACGACCACGACCACGACCACGACCACGACGACGACCACGACGACGGCGACGACGACGGTGTCGACGACGACGACGACGACGACGAGGACTTGAGTCAAACAGAACAGCGTCTTCCACACGCCGACAGGGCCGGCGGATTTTCTACGTACGTTCTCGCCCCTTGCTGGCGACGATCCATACTTCCGTCGTCTAGCTGCAATTATCGCCTGTTGTTTGAAGTCGTTATCCGTGCCGCGCCCATCCGCCAATGCGCCGTGTATGTGGGGGGGGACGGCTGGGGAGATCTTTTCCCGCGCAGGAATTTCGGTTTTCGCACAATTTGTCGCGGAGGGGGCAAACAGCAAGCAATGGCAAACAGCAAGCAATGGCGTGCAGCAGAAAGAAGGGGACGCTTGCTGTGCTCGATGCGTCGGGGGCCCGAAACATTTTTCCGCAACCTTTACCAGCGCTGACTCCAGATAGGATGTGAGAGGACATCTCTGCGGGCCATACCTGGAATACATAATTGGACTGGGCTAGACTGCATTGACCTGGACCAGTCTGGACTGGACTGGATTGGGTTGTATTTGCCTAGACCAGGCTGGACTAAACTGGGTTGGACTGGATTGGCCTGGAATGGATTGGACTGGACTGGACCGGATTTGATCGGCCTGGGTTGGGCTTGATTGGATTGAATTGTATTGGATTGGGCTGGATTGGATTGGATTGGACTGAACTAGGCTGGCCTTGACACGACTGCGTGGGCTGGATCGGACTGGATCGGATTGGTTTGGCCTGGGCTGGGCTCGTTTGGATTGGACTGTGTTGGATTGGACTGAACTGGGCTGGCCTGGGCTGGACTGGATTGGCCTGGAATGAATTGGACTGGACTGGACCGCATTTGATTGGCCTGGGCTGGGCTTGATTGCATTGGATTGTATTGGATTGGGCTGGATTGGACTGGACTGAACTAGGCTGGCCTTGACTGGACTGCGTGGGCTTGATCGGATTGGTTTGGCCTGGGCTGGGCTCGTTTGGACTGGACTGCGGGCGCTGCCACTAGGGCCTTTCCTCATGGGGCCCGAAACGTGTGAGGGGTGTGCCGAAACGCGCGCGGCGGTGCCATGCGGGCGGTGCCTCTGGGGGAGGGGGGGGGCCTTAGAATTGGGCTGGCCTGGACTGGACTGGATTGGCCTGTAATGAATTTAGTTGGCCTGGACTGCATTGTTCTGGGCTGGATGTCTTGGCCCGGATTGTGCTCGAATTGATTGAACTTGATTGGATTTGGAAAAAGTGGATTGGATTGAATTGGGTAAGCCTTAACTGGATTGGTCTGGACTGAATTGCCGGACTGTATTGGATTGACCTGGTTTGGGCTGGACTGAGCTAGGCTGGATTGGATTTGACTGAACTATTTGGCATTGACTGCGCTGGATTTAAGTCTGCATCGCGCATTTGGAGAACTTGGATGCCCCCAGTCTCATGATTATCGTGATTTCGAAGTTATGTTTTTTTTTCTTGGAACGGCCGCAGATTCAGAGCATCACATGGCTATGGCAGCAAGTGCGCGTACCACCTGTGTGTCCACAGATGCTCTGCCAGGCATGAGAGAGAGAGAGAGACGAGGAGGAGGAGAACGTATACAACACGAGATATAGAAGCTGTGGGACATCGCTACAGGGAGGTCGCCAATCCCCTCTATCTCCACTTGCGGGCCGTAGACTGACTCGTCCATGGACAGTCGCAGCACTCGTAATCGTAGTCGTCACCCTCAGGGTAGTGCTCACTGTTGGAAGTGCCCCGTTGGAAGACGACCATGTGAGAATCTTCAATCGTGCCCACCCACGTCTCCTTGGACTTCAACGCCGCGAATCAACTTTCCTGTTGCGTCCTGACGATCCTGCATCGCGACAGAAGACCATTCCCAGGACATCACCGCGAATCAATGTGACTGTTGCGCCTTGACAATCCTACATCGAGCTGGAACATCATTCCTGGCACGTCAACCAAACGAATCCGTTAAATTGTTGTGAACTTGTAAAACGATTGTGCGCGGCGCTGCGGGCGAGAGCCACATTTTTGAAACGACCCAGCCTCCACCCGTGAATGTTAGAATATTTAAGACGGTTGTACGTGGCTGTATGGCGAGAGCTACATTTTGGAAACCATTCTTCCTCCATCCGTGAAGCTCTCTTAAACTTTGTAGACGAATGTGCGCGGCGCTAAGGCGAGAGCCAGAGTTTGAAAACCGTTCGCCCTCCATCCGTGCAATGTCTGCAAACTTTGAGCGTGAATGTGCGCGGCGCTGCCGGCGAGAGCCTCGTTTTGAAACAACTGCCCGTCCTTCATCCACGAGCTCATTACGACCTTTAAGCCGGATGTGCCCGGCACTGCGGGCGAGAGCCGCCAGTGAAATTCTTGCAAATTAGTGAAAAACATGTGCGCGGCGAGAAGGCGAGAGCCATGTTTTGAAGTCGACCAGCCCTCCATCTTTGAAGCGGTTCGGTTGTCCAAACACCAATGTGCGCGGCGCTGCGGGCGAGAATCACATTTTGAAAACGACCCGGCCTCCATCCGTGAAAGTTGAATATTTTAAGACGGATGTACGTTCAGGCGAGAACCACATTTTGAAAACCACCCGCCCTGCATCCGTGAAATTCCTTGCAAGCAGTAAAAGCGAATGTGCGCGCCACTGAGGCGAAAACGGCGTTTTGAAAACAGCCCGCCCCCCACCTTTGAACATGTTTTTTTTTAGAGGACGGATGTGCGCGGCGCTATGGCGAGAGCCACACTTTGAAAACCATGCGC